GTTTTATCTTTCATAATAGTGTCTTTACAATTGCTTTAACTTATATCAAATACCTCTTCTAGCATTCTTAAAAAAATTTTCTTTTTTTAAAACCAAATTTGTACTTAAAATGGTACCGGTGTTAGTTCAAATCTTTTCTTTTCTAAGTCAACAATCTTGTCTCTAAAACAAAAGTAGAAGAATGTATTAAAATTATTGTAATTTATAATAAATATATATAACTTTATGATTTTATAATTGTTACTTAAATAAAATTAATTTGAAATTGGATTAAACTAAAAATTTAAAATCTTATTAATAAAGTAAAAACCTGATGTGCTTGTCAGTATTAGTGTAAGGAAATCCTGCTTTTTGCCAAACTTTCTTCACCTCGTGAAGGACAACATTTTTGGAGACAACCACCTATTTCAGCACATTGTGCAGAAAAAAATTTCCTAGAGAACATGAAGCTATACTAACTGAAGAAATATTTGGAAAATCAGCTTTTAGCATAAGATCTCTGTAATGGTAATATTGCAATACGGTTTTTTTTCTTACTTTTATTAACACATTACTAAGACTAAACAAAGACTTCGTTTTTTCTTGTTCTTTTTAATAAATTTAAATAATTTAGCAGTAAATACATGTCAATATAAACTTTTAAATATCTTTTGAGACAATAATTTGTTGCTACTTTAATACTTTTATGAATTAAAACAAATAATTAGTAAAAAGATTAACAATTAGTTAAGAATTTAATGCTTAATTTAATACATTTAATATCTGTAATAATATGTCTATAAATCAATGTTGTGAGCAATTATCAGTTATTGGCAAAAAATGCAAGTAAGTCTATCTTTTGAAACAGTTTTTTGAATTAGTCCACAACAATCCCAATAAAACCAGAGGCCACAAATGTCACATTCAATGCTTTATTTTTAAATTCATTCTCATTTAAGCAAGGCTTATCGCACAATGGACATGTATACAGTTGCATAAATCCAAGTAGGTAACGTTGCACATACGTTTTAAAAAACAGAATTAAGCTTGGAAGCACTCTTTGCCAATGTTCTTCATCGAATGTGATTTTATTAACTAAAACACCTTTCTTCGTATAGACTACAAAATACGTGGATTTATAACCAGTGATTGCCATTTGGCCGTTTATTTGGGTGTAATATTTGTGATTTCTTTTAAGCACTACTTTGTCGTCAACCATTTCCAAAAAATTCGTTTTTTTCCATGAAACGCTTATATCTTTGTCCCGAATACTGAAAGGACATTTGTATTCTACACAAGATTTTAGGCAACAACGGCATTGAAAAATGTTGTCCGGAAAAGCACCAAGATACGGGTGCGGTTTATGCACGAATAAACCACACGTTATTAGCTTAGGATTTTGATGTTTTACGCCCTCAGTTGACATAAATATTTTTGCTGCATTTTTCTCGTTTTCTTTACCCCAGTTTAGAGGTGCAACATTCTTTAATTCAACTAGATTGACAATAGCCTTAAGAAGTGGCGCGATTTTGCATTTAACGTCTTTATCGTGGTTTTTTAGAAGAAATGTTTTTTATGGCGAATGGAATAGAAACATGATGATGTTATTCTTCCTCTGCGTTGGTCCCACCATTGGTTTGAGTGTGATTGATTTCTTGTAGCTTTTTCAAATTCTTGAAGTTGATTGTCGTTAAATGTCAGCATAACAAGAAATCTATCAGTCACGCAGCTTAGCTCCGTTGGAAAACAACTACGTGCTGCAAAAGCAATTTCTGTTATTGAATGTGGCACATCATTATCTGGCGGAGGGGTAAACATTGTATTTAGAGCGGCTTTTGCAAGAACTTTCTTGATATTTAATAAAAATTGTTTTTTTTTTTCAACTTCCGTAATTTCACGAATTTCTTCTGATCGTGGATCAAAATCATTTTTTTCTTTGTAAATCAAAAGTTTTTTTCTTTAATTTACCACTTTTATGTATTAAAAATGTTCATATCTTTCACCATAATTGATTGAATTTCTTTGGACGGAGCGTTCCAGCTGCAAATATTATCAGTACAAATAGGGTTTGTTATGTCTTTAGTGTTCGTATATTCTATTTTATAAACTACCGCAGCAACATGATTACAAAAATTACTTTGTCCTGCGGTACACGTGCAAAACGCTGTGCAAGTGCTGCCATCCACATTAAATAAAATCCAAAGTTGATGGGATTTTTCTCATAAATGTTGAGAAGGAACGTATCATAATATAATCGTTTATTTTTTTAAATAACTTGCCAACAAAACAACTTCCAAAGTATGAATATGCTTTTTTAAGTTTGTACTGACCAATGTATTCAGTTTCAAATGCTTTGCTTTTGATGATAAAAGCAAATATTTGTCCAATATTTGTAACAGGCCATTGTCGCTTATTGTCTATAAAATCATTTGCTTTCAACGGGTCGAAATCTATTTTAAACGATTTCAGTAGATTTGCGTAGTCACTATTTAATTTATTCCAAACATTTTATTGCAAAAATCACGTGTACAGGGTGTGCTGAAGTATGAGGCTCTTCTGTAAAAATGAAACGTTAATAACAAAATTCAAAAAGTAAAGTTGCATTAAAGCTACCATTATCAAATGTTGCATTTATACCAAATTGGTTATCCAAATTTTGAATTTTTTATCAAAAATTAACAAAGGTTTGAAATTCACATATACATTGTGTTCCAAAATACATGGTATTCTGCAAAAATGAAAGGTTAATAAAAAAATTGAAAAAGTAAAGTTGCATTAAAGCTACAATTATCAAATATTGCATTTGTACCAAATTGGTTATGCAAATTTTGAATATTTTATCAAGAATTAACAAAAGTTTGAAAATTACATGAATATAATGTACCCACAAAAGTACGTGGTTTATTTTATAAAAAGAAAATTAATAACGATATTTTAAAAGTGTGGTTACAGCTACTATTATTAAGTAGTTTTATTTATACCAGATTGAAGTATCTTACTATTGCATTAGAGCATACCCCGACTAAATTTGGTTAGCCCAAAATAGGTAATAAGAAGATATATCCAAAAATGCATACTTGTTTAATCAATAAAGTGTAATGGGATCTAATAAATTTTTAACACCATATTAGTAATTAGAAATGAATTTCTAATAAAATAGCATATATACACGTATGCCAGTAAAACAGTAGAACATTTTTAAAACGAGAAAATAAAAACTTGTAAAACTGTGATTTATAATCATTTTTATCATCATTATCAAATATTCTCTGCTTCATAGCTTTATAATCTCAGCTTCATAGCTTTATAGTTTTATCATGTCTCAAATAATTTTTGTTAAAATATTTACAAAAAATTTCGTAATTGTTCTAACTTTCACTGGCACACCCTGTAAAACATTCTACAAAAATGTTAATAAAAATAAGTTGCACACACTTGCGTATTTCATTATTAAATATCCAAAACTTCAGAATCACACGGTTTTAAGAGCTGTACTATTAGTTTATTACGCACAAGTTGAACTTGTGCGTAATGAACTAATAATTGGATCAGATGTGCAGAGAAGTCTTCGCATCAACTCTTCATTCGTCTTCAAACGGGAGCACTTACGTGTAAAACTTAGTCGAAATTTTTAAAGTCTTTATGTCATGCTTCTTGTGCCTCTTCGGAGAGCATACCAATTGGCAAAGTCATTTTCTCAATTTTTTCAAAATTTATGTAATAAACAATAAAAATTATTTAATCATTCTTCTTTGAAGAGCTTTCAAGAGCTAAAAATTATTTAATCATTCATCTTTTAAGAGCTTACAACAACGATTACATCATTGAGTATTGTACACATTAACAATAAGGAGCGCAAGCAATAATGTAATTTTCAAAATCTCTTTGTCATAAAACTAATTACAGTATACGCACAACTTTTACCATCTGCTTTACTTTATAAATTTGTTATCGATAAAACGTTACATAACTTTCTAAATTTCTGATACAGCTGCTTATTATACCATTCACAAATGGTATAGAACATACTCTGGCATTTTACGTACATGCATGTATCATACGCATTTATGAGTGATAAAGCTAGTCAAAATAAACTTTAATTATAGTTTTTATTTATGTACATTTCATTCAGAGTGTAATCTGCATGCATCTGCACATAGGGGAGAGCGGGGTTGGTTGTCACGCGGGTTGGTTGTCACAAAGTTTATTACAAGAAATGTAAATAAGATATAGAAATTTCAAATTATACAATGGAAATGTTATATAAAAAAAACATTTTTACAGTAATTTTTATCTTTTTTTAGCGTGCAGAAGAAAAGTTATTTGTTTTAATAGGTTTTTGATATGAAAAAGTAAAATTTCGCCTACTCAGAAATTTTCTTTTACCAAACGAAAATTATTTTATTGTGTTTTGAATGTAGATTTATAAAGTACTTTATTCATTTGAGTAACTTAATCCGTAAAAAATTATCATGAAATTCTCACGCTTTTAGGTAAATGTACAGGTGTCCAGCAACTTACTCAGAAGGGGTTGCTTGTCACAAAATATATGGGGATGGTTGTCACACTTGCCTCGACTCCATGCGCTGCAAATTAAATGCCGCTTGCAGAATATTTAGTGGCTTTGTTTATTTTCCGCATTATTGAGGAATATTTTAATGTTTAAGATATTATTTAAAAATCTAAAGTCAAAGTGTTATATATGTTTAACTAAATATCTGTAATCTAAATTATTTTTATTTCAACGTGCATAACTTTAGATTCCGATCCAATGTTTAGTATAATTATAGAAAAAGGATTGCAGAAGTTCAACTGTTTATTGTTTTGTTTACAAACTAAACAACTAGTTTGTGAATTGTTTATATTTAGTGGGTTTATATATATATATATATATATATATATATATATATATATATATATATATATATATATATATATATATATATATATATATATATTTATTTATGTATATATACATAAATATATATATACATAGAGGTTATACTTCTGGAGATGTCATAATGTGTGCTGTTAAAGATGTAAATATTAATAACATTTCTATTAGATCAGCATCAAAAAACCATGGCATTAATTACAGAACATTAGCACGTTATTGTAAAAAAATTGTTATTACTAACCCATCACATGGTTCTATAGCAGATCTAATTGACAAAATTGAAAACCCCACCTCCCTGAATGTTATAGGATACAAAAGTTGATTGATATTGCCAGAAAAAGTAGAAAAAGAACTGGTCACCTACCTGTTGCGAGCAGCAGATATATATTTTGGTTTAACTCCTACCGAAGTAAAAAAGCTTGCTTTCCAGTTAGCAATTAAAAATAATATTAAGGTTCCCAATTCTTGGGTTGTAAAGGAACAAGCTGGTAAGGATTGGTTTACAGGATTTATAAAGCGCCATTCAAATATTTCCATTAGGCAACCTGAAGCTACTAGTTTAAGTCGAGCGACAAGTTTCAATAAGCAGAATGTTGCATCATTTTTTAGCAATTTGCAGCACTGTATGCAAAAATACTCGTTCTCACCAAATGACATTTGGAACATGGACGAAACTGCTGTAACTATTGTACAGCAACCTAAAAAGGTTATTGCGAAAAAAGGATTAAAACAAGTAGGAGCCATCACGTCAGCTGAAAGAGGAACTCTTGTAACATTAGCATGCACAATAAATGCTATTGGAAATAGTATTCCACCCTTTTTTATTTTTCCTCGTAAAAACTTTAAAGATCGTTTCCTATTCAGTGCACCAACAGCAAGTGCAGGAGATACAAATCCAAGTGGTTGGATGAAAGAAGAAAACTTTGTAAAATATCTAAAACATTTTGTAAGCAATACAAAATTTACTAAAGAAAAGCTTTGTTTATTGTTGCTTGACAATCACGAAACTTATCTTAGTATTGAAGGATTTGATTTGGCAAAAAATAATGGAATAGTAATGCTTACCTTCCCACCACATTGCACACATAAGTTGCAGCCCTTGGATAAGGCAGTTTATGGTCCTCTCAAAAACTACATAAATACTGCTATGACATCATTGTTAGTAATGAATCCTGGAAACATTGCATTTCCAAAGTAAACGTGGTAAACATTGCGTTTCCAAAGGCTGTATCTCCCCACAATATTTTAAGTGGTTTTTCTGCAACAGGTATTTACCCGTTAAATCCTGATGTGTTTACTGAAAATGATTACTGTCCTAACTATGTAACTGATCGCCCTGACCCACCTTGTTCACAGGCTGATTCAAATAAAAAAGACTGTGAATCTTTTCAATGCAACCAGAACCATCAAATAAAAGATTTAAAGAATCTATTCAGATACCAGATAATCAGGTAGACATAACAATAGAAGATCCAGTTGTATCAAATAAAACCTCTAATCAGAACCCAATCACAACATTAGGTTTTAACAATTTAATCATACCACCTGAGAGTATTAGGCCTCTGCCTAAAGCAGGCCCGAGGTTAGCATCAAAAAGAGGTAGGAAAAAGCGGTCAACTATGATTCTTACTAACACGCCTGTCAAATCATGGCTTGCTAATTATAAAAAGAAGAAAACTAATAAAAAAAAATTTACTAATGGAAGTAAAAAAGAATTAATAAAATCAAATCTTGCTAAGAAAAAACCTTCTATAGTCTTGAATTCATCTGAAGATGAAGAGTATCTGTGCATCTATTGTTTTGAATCATTTCCAACAGCCGATCAAGAGAACAGTGGATTCAATGTCAGGTTTGCCAAAAATGGGCTCATGAAGAATGCACACCAGGCTTACAACAGTTTATTTGTGAATTGTGTTCTTTATCCAATAATTTTTAAAAAACCAAACCTAAAAACATTTATAGTGATAAACTAAATTTGTTAATTGTGTTATATTTAAAATATATATATTTCAGTTTATAGTATTTTATTTTTATTTTTCTTAGTAAAACATAAACGAAATTAATTTGTACTCGTTTTACATTAAATTCTTATCTAAACTTGTCAAAATCCAAATGTGACAATCAACCCCGCACCATGTGACAACCTACCCCGTGAGCGGGGCTAGTTGTCACACAGAAGTGGTCTTTGAAAAATGATTTTACAGCAATAAATATTTCACTCAATGTCATAAAAATATTATAATAGTTACTGAAAATAGTTAAACTAGCTTTGTGCAAAGTTTGGCATTGATTGGATGAAAATTAAAAGCTGAGCAGCCTAAAATGTAAAAAGTGTGACAACCAACCCCGCTTTCCCCTACTTGGGATGTTTTCTATTTTTTAAATTTCTTCTAATAGTAGATCAAATCTTTTACAGACAATGCGAAGTCCTTTTTCATAATTTTTACTAATTAGGTTATTATTATACTTCGAACAAAACATCCAAATCAAAGGACGATAGGAAAAATTTGACAGTATAAAAGCATTGAATAAAACAGTAGCTTGTTTTACTGATAAGAAGCTCCTTATTCGTGCAAGAGCGAAGCATTTACCATTCGCTTTTCCACACAGCGAAACATTTACCATTCGCTTTCCACATCATTTATTCCTTCTAGGTCCTCTTCGATATTAGAAGTTTTTATTTTGTTTGTAGATAGATTGAGTTCTATTTATCCAACCTTTCAGTAAAAGTCTTTATATTTGCGCTTGTTATTTTTGCATATAATCGTGCAGCTTTAGGAATCAAATTTGGTCAATTGCAATTTCTAAAATATGTTGAGAGTTTTGCTTTAAAGCATAAAAATCATTCAAGAATGGAACTCCTACAGAAAAATGGTGGCGTGGAATTTGCAAAAGGCGTAAAGATTTAACTTGACGTCAACCAGAAGGTACAGCAGCTATTAGATATCAGTGTATGAATGTTTGTAAAGTGTCGAAATATTTTTCTATTCCTAAAAATGTGTTAACGGAAAAAAATCTGCTTCAGAAACCGCAAAACATTTGGAATATGAATGAGACTGGGATGCAGTTTGATTATCGTCCACATACACACACACATATATATTATTATAACATTATACGACAGCCCAAATATTATTATATCTTATTATAACATTATATGACGGCCAAGATTGCTCAGGATTTATCCTTTTCTTTACAGCATCGCTTGGATTGCGACATGTTATTGTAGAAGGCCACTTACAATAAACAATGCCTTTTTTTGTGGTAGTAAGAGTTGTAGGCATCACTTAAACTTCAGCTGTGTCAGGAAAAAAACACTACATACCATAAAGACTTGATAGTTTTACAAATTATATTTTTTAACTAAGATAATTATTTTTTTATATTAAAATAATATAAAATTGTAATATAAAAATATACCGTCGCTTTTTTATATGTATACGTAAAAAAAGAATAGGGTAATAGTTACCCTTGTACTGTCACGATAATTTTGGTTCGCCGATAAAAATTACCCGGGACTAAAATTTTCAGAAAATATATATCCGGCCGGATAACATTTTTTTTTAAAAAAAATTGGTCCGAGCTAGAAAAAACTGGTCCGTATTATAATTTAGTATGTATGTGCGTATATTGTACTTTTGTGTTTGTACTTTTGATGCCGAGGCCACATTGGAGCCCTTTATTACGGCTTAAGGTTTAATAGTGGCAATGAGGCAATTGCTTGGGCTATAAAACAGTGTACTGAGTACTATCTATGTTTCGAGTCAAGTTCTTTAACAAATTTAAAAATGAATATAGTAACAAAAACTATAAAACACAAAAAACCACAGTCATCACCAAGTTTGTTAAACCTATCATTCACCAATAATAGTGGTCTTCAAAGTAGCTTTTCTTCTGTTGAGTCTTATCTCTTGCAAGGTTCACCAGACCTACTTTCTCTTTGTGAGTTTTTTGAGTTCAGCTGTCTCATCTTGTGATCTTACTGTTGATGGTTATCTTCCTTTAATTCGTAAAGACTCCAATAGTCACATGCTTGGCCTAGGCAATTACATTACATTACATAGGCATTACATAAGAATTCACCCATTTGTCGGGAAACTAGATTTGAATCCACAGACTACTCTTTTATGTGCTTTCGTTTAGTACCACTTCACTCTATCACCTTTCTCTTTGTTCTATATCACTCTCCTTCATCTCAAGACTGCACTCTTGATGTTATTTCTGATTATATTGACCAAGCCCTCATTCTTTATCCATCAGCCAATATTGTTGTTGTCGGTGACTTTAATGTTCATCACACTGAATGGCTTGGCTCTAGCGTCAGTGACTCTGCAGGCATTAAGGCCCACAACTTTTGCCTTTCTCAATCCCTAACTCAAATAGTCAACTTTCCAACTCGCTTTCCAGACAACCCGAATCATTTACCTTCTCTACTCGACTTATGTCTTGTTTCTGATCCTAGTCAGTGCTCAGTTTCTCCACACTCACCCTTAGGTGCTTCTGATCATGCTTTGGTCTCTCTAAAACTATTATCTCATTCTTCTTTACCATCAGAATCCCCCTATATTTTTACATCTTACAACTACCTTAAAGCTGACTGGGACTCTTTCCGTGATTTTCTTAGGTAGAAATCTGGGGTAGAAATCTTTCGTCTTCCTGTTGACAAATGTGCTTCTTACATAACTTCATGGATTCAGGCTGGCATGGAATCCTTTATTCCCTCTCGACAATTCCAGGTCAAGCCTCACTCTTCTCCATGGTTTTCCTCACATTGTGCTGCTGCAATTGCTAATCGAAATCATTACTTCCATATCTATCAGCAAAACAATTCTCCAGAAAACAGACGTCTGTTTATTACTGATAGGAACCATTGTAAAAAGGTTTTGTCTAACGCCTAAGCCCGCTATTCTCAGATCATGAAATCTCGTATTTCATCACAAAAATTAGGCTCTCGTGACTTCTGGAGAATCTTTAGTAGTATCAATAATAAGACTGTAATTCCACCTATTTTGTACGGTTTAGACTTTGTCACCTCACCTGCTTATCAGAGTCTTGTTTTTTAGCCTGCTGGAAAGCAGCATCTGTTATCCTTATTTCTTAAAATTCTGGAGAGCGATCTGATTCGTCTAACTACCGTCCCATTAGTCTTCTTCCTATCATAAGCAAGGTTTTTGAATCTTTAATTAACAAACACTTAATCTCTCATCTCGAATCTCATAACCTACTTTTTTGATCATCATGGATTTCGATCTTCTGGATTTCGATCTTCTCGTTCTACAGCTGATTTGCTAACAGTAATAACCAATAGGTTTTATCGCGCATTAGATAAAGATGGAGAGGTTAAGTCCATCGCTCTAGACATTTCTGAGGCGTTTGATAAAGTTTGGTATGCTGGTCTTCTCCATAAACTTTCTTCTTACGGTGTATCTGGAAACATCTTAAAGATTATCGAATCCTTCCTTTCCAATCATAGTATAAAAGTTGTCCTTGATGGACAGCACTCTTCTTCTCATTCTGTAACCTCGGGGTTCCTCAAGGTTCAATCCTTGGTCCTATCCTCTTTTTAATTTATATTAACGATCTTCCAGATATTCTCACATCTAAGGTGGCATTGTTTGCTGATGATTCTACCATTTATTCTTGTCACGATGAGAAGCCAACTCCCTCTGATTGCTTGCAGGGGGCATCTGAGCTTGAAAAGACTCTCACTTCTGCTACAGCATGGGGCTCACAGTGGCTGGTGAACTTTAATTCAGATAAAACTCAATTTTTTTCAGCCAATTGTTATCGCAATAATTTAGACTTTCATATATTTATGAACGGTAATGTACTCGATGAGTCATCTACCATTCATCTTCTAGGATTAACTCTTACTTCTGATCTCTCTTGGAAACCTTATATCAAATCCGTTGAAAAATTAGCATCTGCTAAAGTCGCTTCACTTTATCAAGCTCGTCACTTTCTTACTCTGGATTCTATTCTCTATCTTTATAAATCTCAAATATGGCCTTGTATAGAATACTGTTGCCATATCTGGGGTGGATCATCTAATGATGCCCTTTCTCTTTTAGACAAGGTGCAAAAACGCATTGTAAACATAGTTGGACCTACTCTTGCAGCCAACCTTCAACCTCTGTCACATCGTCGTAATGTTGCTTCTCTTTCTCTTTTTTACAAATACTATAATGGGTACTGCTCTAAAGAGCTAGCGTCTCTTGTGCCATCTACAAAAATTCATTCGCGTGTTACTCGTCATTCAACTAAGTCTCATCTTTTTTCTGTTACTGTTCCTAAGTGCTCCAAAAACTCTTATTCGTCTAGTTTTTTTCCTCGAACATTAGTTCTTTGGAATTCGCTTCCTTCATCTTGCTTTCCTGATTCATATAATTTGCAATCTTTTAAGTCGTCTGTCAATCGATATCTTGCTCTTCAATCTTCATCTTTTCTCTTCCGGTAACTTCCAACACTAATTAGTGGTTGCTTGCAGCCTTGCTGGAAGCGAAAATGTTTAAATATATATATATATATATATATATATATATATATATATATATATATATATATATATATATATATATATATATATATATTCTAAAACTATCATGGAAGACAACCTTGTTCGACAAGTTTTTACTTATTTAAGTAAAGAGCAATACCCTGATGGAAGTCAAGAAGGCAAAAAAAGAGTAATAAGAAAAAAGGCTTAAAGTTTATGATTTCAAAAGGCGGGGAATTACTATATAAGTATAAAAAGAAAGACAAGGTAACTCGTTAATATATAAATATTGGAAACTGTATTCATAAAAATACGCACACTTACTCTTGTTATTATTATTTTGTTATTATTATTATTATTTTGTTATTATTATGTTTTTAGGGGATGGTAATATTATCTAAATACATATTTAACCACTTTACTATCATTATTACTTATTATTGATATATTTTAGCTTCAATTTTGATTTGATGCTTATTTTTATTTTAATTATGAGTATTAAATATACTATTACCAATATCATATTAGTATTACTGTTATTAATTTTATTATTGTTTATTTTGATGTGTTGTATTTGTAAACTATTTTTCACTTTCTTTGTATAGCTGTTTAATAGCATAACTATGTTTATGTTATCAAACTATGTTTTAACTATATTTAATCTATTTGTTAGGAATTTACTTTATATTAGTATTTGTACTATTGTAAATATCCTTGAAATGTTAATAACTAATTTCAGAATAATTTAGTACCACATGACGCTTTTATCACATAACTTGAAGCCTATGGCATCAAAGGCAATCTTCTTGGCGTACTTCTTTCATTAAGGGAAGGAAGCAGAGAGTTGTGATGGGTGACTACTGCTCTGACTGGCGCAATGTAATTAGTGGTATTCAACAAGGTTTTAGTTTAGGATTTCTGCTTTTCGTTATATTTATTAACGATTTGCCAGAAGTGGCAACAAATTTTATAAAGCTTTTTGCTGACGATACAAAGCCAGTTGCGGTCGTAAAAAACCTAATGGACAGCGTTTCATTACAGAATGATATCAATGCAGTTACGAAATGGGCTGACGATTGGCACATGAAATTTAATAATGAAAAATCTAAGGTCATGTATATTAGAAAAAAATCAAATAATAACATTTATAAACATAGGTATACGATATATGTTCAAGATTTACATGAACCTATGGCCGAGCGTGACCTTGGTATTGTAATTACAAATAACTTAGATTGGGAAATCCAATGCCAAAAAACGAAACTATATTCTTGAAATGCTTAAAAGAACTTTCGGTTATTGGAATGTAAAATCATTCAAGATTTTGTACACATAACTTGTAAGACCTCATCTTGTAACATTTTCTTCAACATGGAATCCTTAGAGGAAAAAAGATAAAGAAAATCTTGAAAGAATACAAAGAGGAGCTACAAAGCTTGTGCCTGATTTGTGTAAACTAATCTATGAATCGAGACTCAAATTTCTTGGTTTGACTACCCTTAAAGAAAGAAGAATTAGGGGAATGTTAATCGATTATTTTAAATTCTACAACAGCATCATAAAATTAAATTGGCAAGTCCTAATAAATCAGCAATACTGGCATCAGCTCCAAGGTCCTGCAGTAGCAATTATAAACAATCAACACCCCATCATCAAGCAAACCAAAATAAACATTAGCCAAAGAGAATTCTTCTTTACTAATGAAATTTTTTCACACTTTCAACTTCTCAAAGAAGTTGTTGAGTTAATGATTGCTGAGTAATTGATTAATAATTGAGATAATGTTTTCGAATTTAAAAACAGACTTGATAAACATTATTCTAATAAGCGAATGATTATTGCAAATCAATTGGACTGCCATAGTCTACCAATTATTTGTTAGATTCACAAAATATTTCAGTAGCAGTTGTATCTAGAATAAATAATTAAATATTGATAATTCAATGCTTGATTTATCAGTATTTATTCATAACAATTATTTATTTTAAAATAAATAACAGTTAATAATCTATAAATATTATTACCTTAACGCTTCCGATGAATGCTCACCAATCGTGCGCGTTTTTACACTGAGTTTTATGAGCATGCTTGGCCTTTTAGATATTTCTCTTTTTGACCACGCGATGAGGTACTCTTGAATCTGTTAATATCTGTTCAATTAGTAATAAGATCAAAAACTTTGCTTCATCAACTTAATTAGTAATAAGAAATAATTAGTAATAATTTTAATTTTTTAATTAAAAGACGATGGTGACTCTAAAAGACGATGCTCTTTTCAAGAGGTCAAACTCTCGATAAAGTTAGTGTTGTATATATATATATATATATATATATATATATATATATATATATATATATATATATATATATATATATATATATATATATATATATATATATATATATATATATCTTGCATCTTACACAGTTACATGTTAGAAAGAACAAGAAAGAACAACGTTAAATACCTTACCTTTAAAGAGGTACTCTTGAATCTGGTAATATCTGTTCAATTAGTAATAAGATCAAAAACTTTGCTTCATCAACTTAATTAGTAATAAGAAATAATTAGTAATAATTTTAATTTTTTAATTAAAAGACGATGGTGACTCTAAAAGACGATGCTCTTTTCAAGAGGTCAAACTCTCGATAAAGTTAGTGTTGTATATATATATATATATATATATATATATATATATATATATATATATATATATATATATATATATATATATATATATATATATATATATATACATATATATATATATATATATATATATATATATATATATATATATATATAAATATATAAATATATATATATATATATATATATATATATATATATATATATATATATATATATATATATATCTTGCATCTCACACAGTTACATGTTAGAAAGAACAAGAAAGAACAACGTTAAATACCTTACCTTTAAAGAGGTACTCTTGAATCTGTTAATACCCTGTGTCAAGTCCGACGGTGGGCCGAGCTCGGGCCGAGCTTGATACATCGGTTGAACATCGGCTACTCTGTTTTTAGCAAAATAATATCGGTGAAACGTCGGTTTTTTGTCTGTTGGCCGATGAATGGTCAAACAGACATTCAGCCGACGTTCAGCCGATGTTCATCCAATTTGGTTCTGTTTTTTATTTTAATGATAAAAAACCGAATATGTTGAATTTTAAAAATGGCAGCAAATCTAACTGAAGGCAAAATTTTTTAATGCATAGGAAAGTTAATTCGTTTACCTGTTAAATTAATATTATTTAATAATATTAATTGGTATTTATAAATAATAACATTACTTTTTATTTACAAATAGTTATTTGAATTTTATTTGAATAGTTATATAAATTTATAAATCATTAAAGTTTAAGATATAAAAATATTAGATAATAATATCAATATACTAGGTAAACAGTAATTTGTTTTGATAACAGTTAAAAAATACTTAAACTGTGAGCATACAGTTTGTGATTTATGTTTAATTAAAAAATTATTCATTTTTAAGTTAAACATTAAATGATATTAATTAGTTCATTAACTCAAAACTTGTTAAATAAGTAAACAATTATGAGTCTTTAACGATTTTAAATTACCTCATTAAATTTTAAAGATTGAACATAAATTGTGAACATCATTCAGATAGAAATGTTGAAGATATAAAAGTTCAATTCAATACAAGGTAAGGTAGAAAGTTTTTTATATACTGGTAACATAAGTTTTAAGCAAAATAAGCTTAACTATTTGTTTATTATTTCACTTCAAATTTTTGCCTTGTTTATTTATATTGTATATTTTATATTTACAGTAATAATTTTTTTTATGATCACAATATTATTGTTATATATAATATACTATAAGCAATAATTAATGTGCAACTAAAATATAACTATATTTTAGTTACTAATTATATAAACCAATTCAATATTTTAATGATGGCATCAAATCGTTCTGATAGGAGAAGAGCAAGTTATGAATTGTCAACTTTTTTTTCTTCAATACGTGGTAAATTTATATTAATAATATAAACTAGTATTTAAAAATTTGATTGCAATTGTTTATATAAAAATAAAACTTGGGCAAAATGATATAGAACATTTATTTTAATGATTAAAGTGTTAATCATTGTAACAAAGTTTTATATCATATAAGTTCGATGATATAATATCAATAACAATAATATAAAATGAAACTATTTTTATTAAAAAAAAAAAAATAATTGTGCAAACTTTGCAGATAAAATGTAATAATAATTGTTATTATATGTAATGTTATTATAAAATCTCTCTCTCTCTCCTCTCTCTCTCTCCCTCTCTCTCTCTCTCTCTCTCTCTCTCTCTTTCATATATATATATATATATATATATATATATATATATATATATATATATATATATATATATATATATATATATATATATATATATATATATATATATATATATATATATATATATATATATATATATATATATATATATATATATATATATATATATATATATATATATATATATAATATATATATATATATATATATATATATATATATATATATATATATATATATATATATATTTATATATATATATATATATATATATATATATATATATATATATATATATATATATATATATATATATGAGAGAGAGAGATATACATATATAATTATGTTTAATCATTTTTATAATTTACGTTAATGTTGTTTTCTATTGTGAAAGTATATAATTTTTGTAGTATTCTTCTGATTTAAATAATCATTCCGTATTGCTAATAGTTTACTAAATGCTATAAAGCTATAATGTAATTTATTGTTTCATTTAGACCAAAATTGCAGTATTGAAGTAAACGGTAATAGCCCTTTAAATATTTTTTAATTTCTGTTGTGATATTAAATATAACATTTAAATTATGAATTTATATTTAATTGAAAGTTTAAAATTATTTTATTTAGGCAAAACTCTTAAGCCACAAGTTGACAGAGCTAACCTATACCCAGTTGATTTCTCTATATCTGACGTTTGTTTTGAAAGCAATGAAAATAATTTAAATTATTCAGATAGTGATTTGTATTTAAATGAAGAAGATTGCATGCTCTCAGAGTCAGAAGATTTTGTACAGTATTTGCATAGCGACTCAAGTGACAACAAGGATTCAGAGTCCAAAGAAGATTCCAAAGAAAAAATTTTAACTATTGCTGATCATTTGCTTATGTTTTTTATTACTTTTAATATTAGTCATCATCCGATGCTTTATCTTTTAAAATTGTTGATAAAATTTGGAGTGCCTGATGTTCCAAACTCTATTTATTTAATGACAAAAAAATCACAATTACAAAATTTAAATATTGTAAAATTATCTAATGGAAATTTTTTTTATTTTTCAATTATTGAAAATCTAAAATATCAATCTGTGATATTTTAGATTTGTCAACACAGATTGACACCTTTGTCAATCTGTGTTGACAAAGGTGTTTCTATTATTTCATCAACTATAGATTTCATTTTCAATGTTGACGGTTTGCCACTTTTTAAAAGCTCCGGACTTTGTGCATGGCCAGTACTTTTGTATATTCCGCAGTTTAAAAGCAAGTTTCCATTACCGGTATCTGTTTATTGTGGTACAGTAAAACCAGATTTGTGCACTCTGGTAACAGATTTGTGTGATGAGTTATCATTATTAAAGTCTCAAGGTCTTGTGTATAAAAATGTAAAGTTTGTTATTAATAGCATAATTTTTGTCTGTGATGCACCTGCAAGAGCAATGCTTCAAGGTATAAAGTACCATACTGCAAACTTTGGCTGTTCATATTGTAGAATCGAAGGTGAGACAATTGATCATCGAACTTTATTTCTAAAAAATAATTGTGATATGCGCAATGATTGTAATTATCTTGATATGAAAGAAAATAATCAAGTTATTTTATCACCATTAGCTTTCATAACAGGTATTGGTTTATATTCTTCTTTTCCTCCAGAATATCAGCATCTGGTGTGCCTTGGGGTTTGTAAAAAATTATGTTTTTTTTATTTTACATCAGTTCCTCAGTATCCACGTCTTCCTTGCAAATTAAGTTTAAACCAAATGTCACAAGTATCGGAAATTGTGAAGAACTTTTCTAAATTTATTCCTATTGAATTTCATCGTAAAATCAGACCTTTATCAGAACTGTGCCATTACAAAGCTACAGAATATCGGTTTTTTTTGTTATATTTACGGCCATTTTTGTTAAAAAAGATTTTGCTGCCAGATTTTTATGAACATTTTTTATTGTTACATTATGCAACGTATTGTCTTAGTTCCAACAGTTTTAATGATTATATAGATTGTGCTAAAGGGTGTATCAGTCACTTTGTTTCAAAATGTCCAGAATTGTTTACACCAAAGTGTATGTCATATAATTTTCATGTTTTGTTACATTTACCGTATTTTGTTAACTTATATCAACAACCTCTTGACTACTTTTCTACATTTCGTTTTGAAAATTATTTATCGATTTTAAAGCGTAAAACTAAAGCTACGTCTAGTATATTTCCTCATCTTTTAAGTAATATGAGAAATATACGCGATCAATCTATAACTGAGAGAGTCATGCCTCTTATTTTTAATTGTAAACCGCCAGATAATTGTTGTATTACACCACAAGGAATTATTTTGATTACAAATGTTTTGAGTGAACCAGTTATTTTAGTTTCTGGTTATATTTTAAAGCTGCATAAAAATTTGTATACAATCGGACCTTATGAATCTTCTTCACTTGGTATTGGTATTTATTCAAAATCTACAACATATATAAATAATTTAGCTCCGGTAAATAAGTGTATTTGTTATCCGTATAAGCAAAGATTTATTGTTATTCCATATTGTAATTTTTTTTTTTTTTTTTTTTTTTTTTTTTTTTTTTTTGTCGTTTTACACATTTTACAATGTTATCTTTAAATTCGAATAAATATATATATAATTACAAGCTGACAGGGGCAAGTAGAAGACATAAAGTCTTATCATCAAGCCCTTTTGTGAAATAGAGAAATATAAAATTTCTAAAATTCCAATAATATAAAAAAGAGTTAAATTAAAAATTTTGAAAAAATAAACAAACATTCAAACAAAATTAAAATAAAAATAAAAAAATTTAAAGAGTTTGAAATAAAGTAAAAAGATTGAAAAAAATTAAAAAGTTTAAAATAAATTAAAAATTAAAAAAAGTAAAAATTAGAAAGAAAAAAAAAAAATAATAATAATAATAATAAAATCTCGAAATAAAAAAATAAAAATGTATACAATGCGTAAATTAAAAAGTTTGAATTTTTTTTTTACAAATCAGAACATATACGTATACATATTCAATACAAAGCGAAGTATATATTCAAAAATATTTATATATTAAAAAGATTCCAAACGTTATGTAGATTTAAATTCATTTGTTAGTATTTATTAAAAAAAGTTAAAAAAAAAACAGTCAAAGAGAAAATCAAACAAGAAAGATATATATGTATATATATATATTAAAAAAAAAAAAAAAAAAAAAAAAAAAAAAAAAAAAAGCTTTTTATCAAATTTATCAAAAAAATATTATTTTTAAAAAAATGAAAGAATGTATGTAATGTTTGAGTTTAGTAAGTGTTTTTTTATAGTTCTTTTGAATATATCAATAGATTTTATTTTTTTCATATTTTCGTCAAGAACTGACTTCCACAAGCGTGGCCCCCGACATGTAATTGAGAAGTCAGATTTTTTGAGTGATGTTGATGGGATGTAGTAATTATTTATTGAGTGTCTTGTTTCATATTTATGGTTAATTAGAGAGAAACCTTTATAAAAATATTTTGGAATTAGTTCATTTTGAAGTTTAAACATAAATAACAAGTTATGGTATATATTTAGTTCGTATACGTTTAGCGCATTAATTTCCTTGAGTAACGGCTTGGCACTTTCGTACCTATCTGCGCCCAAAACTAATCGACTTGCTTGCTTTTGTTTAGTATAAATATTTTTTAGGAAAGATGAATGATTGTTTGCCCAGGCAATATTACAATAGTTAATATGACTATGTATAAATGAAAAGTATAAGTTTTTTAAACATATTTTATTCAAAAGATGTTTTGTCCTGTACATAATCCCCACAGTCTTTGAAACTTTGTTCTCGACTAACTTTATTTGGCTTTTCCAATTTAAATGTTCATCGAAATTTATTCCTAGTATTTTCATTGAAAAAACTCTTTTTATTTTAATATTGTTAATTGTTAGTTCTGGAAGTTTAAGTGGAAGGTTCTCGGATTGAGATGGTTTAGCAAACAAAATATATTTAGTTTTTTCAATATTTAATGATAGTTTATTTGCTATAAACCACTCATTAAGATATATTAGTTCAGCGTTTACATAATAAAAAATATTTTTTAAATTTGAGTCAGAAAAGAAAACATTAGTGTCATCAGCAAAAATAGTATAATTAAGTATTTTTGAAGACAAAAAAATATCATTGATATAAACTAAAAACAATAAAGGTCCAAGAATTGATCCTTGTGGAACTCCGCAACTATCTGGATTTAACGCTAAACCTTAACGATGGTTCTTTTCAACCCTACCGCAAACCAGATAATATACTTAATTACATACATACTAGTTCTAATCACCCACCGAGTGTAATAAAAAGTATTCCTAAAAGCATTGAGTTAAGATTATTACAATTTTTTAAGAAAGTGTTCCTCCTTATCAAGAAGCCCTGAAAAAATCTGGATACACTTGCGAACTTGCATCCAAGTATAAAATCTTCAAACAGCAATTATAAACGTAAAATAATTTGGTATAATCCTCCTTTCAGTGCAAATGTTGTAACAAAAATAGATAAATGTTTTTTAAACCTCATCAACCACCACTTCCCAGTTAACCACAGACTCCATAAAATATTTAAAAAAAACACAATCAAAATAATTTATTCATGCATCCCAAACATAAAATCCATTATCAACTCTCGCAATAAAAATACGTTACATGAGGAGGCAAAAAATAATGAAAACACATGCAACTGCATTGATAAATCCAAATGTCCGATAAGCAACCATTGTCTTTCTAACAACATTGTTTATCAAGCCACCGTTTGTTCAAACAATCCGAAGTACAAAGAAAAAGTGTATTTTGGACTCAGCGAGACATCTTTTAAAGTTCGATACGCAAACCACCTCAAATCTTTTAATTCAATTAGATATAAAAATGATACTGAGTTATCTAAAGAAATATGGAAATTAAAAGAAAAAAACTTTACACCTTTTGTCAGATGGAAGATTATTAAACATTGCAAACCATACAACCCAACATCAAGAGTTTGCAACCTCTGTTTGAACGAGAGTTTCAAATTTTGAAGTATAAAGGTGAAAACCTACTTAACACAAGGAGTGAAATAATCTCGAAGTGTAGACACAAAAATAAATTTCTTATTTCTTCCTATGATACCGCAGAATGATCTTGATTAGTTTACGTCACTTTTTCGCCACATGATCCTCTTAAAACTTTTAAAATTTTGTTTCCATGGAGTCATTAGAACTCACGCCACCGTAATTTTAATTGTAATTTTAACGTCTATTTTAAATTTTGTAAATATGGCTGATGATTGCCCTTAGGCATAAAACTTAAAGTTCCATAATAAAAGTTTTTTCTTTTTTCGTTTTTAATTATATGTATATATATATATATATATATATATATATATATATATATATATATATATATATATATATATATATATATATATATATATA